GAAGATAACGATGTAAAATTGAGTTTTAATTTTGAAATGAAGAATTGCCTAAATTTATGTTGGATAAGATAGATTGATTATTGTACAGTCTAAGACAAATTTGTGCTTAGAAGAATGGTGTTGGACAATTTTATGCACCAAGACAACGATCTCTTCTCATATTTCTTGATAAGCTTAAGATATTTATCTTCTTTTTTTAGAGTTTTTAGCGATTTATATTAACTCTGATGTATGTTTGTGATTTTTTTTTTTTTGAATATATAATATCAAGGTTAAAATATTAAACATTTGACTAAAAATAAAATTAATTTCCTAAGTATATAATTCTTAAACACAAACTACTATGGTAACGATTATAAAACTTTAAGGTCAACAAAATTCTTTTATAATACAAATTGCTCTATATATACATTATTCGTATTTCTTTTATATTATATTCGCTCTTTCTACATATTTTTTACTTTATTTTTACTTATAATTTTTTTCGTTTAAGAATTCATATCCAATCTTTTCTTTTTCCTAATTACAAGTAGGGTTTTTAATCCATAACTATATTTTGTACTGTTGAATTAAATCTACATGCTACATTTTAATTTTACTAATATAGATTTTAAACTTATATTTATAATTTTTATTATATATGAATTATATATTTTTAATGTTATTCACAACGTATGAGAGAATTGTCTAATTACAATATAAATATGAAAATGTCATTCAAAGCATCAGCTACACAACCTATCCATTGAGATTAACTAGCAGCATTGATTATAAAATTTGACTGTCCCAAAATGAAAAAATAATATACTTTTAGAAGCAATCCTTCTTCTTCTTTTACTTGTTTTTTTATTTAATGATAAGTAAATCGTCTCCAAATGAATTTTTTATCAATATATATGATTTAAATCTTAAAATTATATTTATTGAAAAAGATTAATTTTTATCATTTTCGTTTTAAACATGATTAATCATATTTTTAATGTAAAATAGAAATATTTTGGTTAAAAAAAACTTTATTTTATGAATCTTTTGAGATAATATTTTTATTAATTAATCAACCAGTTGGCATAAAAAAATATTCGTCCATAGCATGCCAACTTGATAACCCTGTCGGGTCAATTCACAACAGCTAAGATTTTGCTCGTATTTAATCGTAAATGTAACAAGTTGAATTCTTCAATCTTCCAAAGCTGCAAGTCATCGTCAATGTCCATATTTTTCCAAAAGGAACATTTAAATATAGTAATTAAGGTTGATTGCTTATCCATTCGCAATTCTTTAATAAAGCAAACATCCATCTAACAGTAACAAAACCTTTGGCCCTCAGCAGATATTTTAATCCAACCTCGATTGGAAAGACTATAAACAATTTCTTCTTGCTAATCACTGTATTTGAGAACAACTTAATTCTATAAATCTAGCGGTCAAAAACGTGCAATGTAAACTTAAAATCCACAAATTGATGCTTGATAAAGATCAATAGAACCAAACAATGAAACAAACAATTAAAAATTGCAACTTGGCTACAGTGAAAGCAACCCTTTAAACTAACGTTTAATTTTTAATTAACGTAACGTTGAAATACGTTTAATTTTTAATTGATTGTTGAGTTGTTTTTTAAACCATGTCATTCTTGATAAGGAACCAGGGTACAAGACTGGGGATAATTTCATGTCATTTTTTTTTCCTTTTGGCATATTTCCATCCCAGCCCACAGAGAACCTAATTGTCCCTAACTCCATTCTCTTAGTTGGGGTGATACAAGAAAAATTATTACATGAGATAAGTTTCATAATTTATATGAATTAATAGTGAGTTTGACTCCTGCAATAATTTTTCGGCACGTTAGGACATTGAAGATGCTGGTAATGGTTGCATTTTTTTTTTTTTTGGCTTTGCCCATTATACGGTACTAATTTGTATTTTATCTAATGATTTTAATTAAAATCTTGTATTTTTTTATATATTAATTAAATCTATACATTCTTTATTTTATTTTGCCATCATCCATCCGTTGTAATGCTGTTAGTTTGTAGATATATAACAAAATGATGATAATAAAATAAAATTAAAATTAAAAAAAATTAATTAACACGAAAAAAAATTAAATTTTTAATCAAAATAATTTTAAAAGTACATATACAATGTAAAAAGCAAAACTATTTTTTTCTTCTGAAATTATGGTTCTTTTGGCAAAATCCCAAGTTTGTTCCTCGCAATTCTATCCAAAGCAAAATCGGGTTTTCTTTGAAGTGAAAATCACTCTCTCCAAGACAGATTGCACTAGATATCTAATGAATGAGATGAAATTATCATCTCTCAACAAGAACCCTAGAAGGAAATTTAATAACATAATTCAGAGGGAGTCATCAGGAAAAAAAAAGAAAAAAGGGAATGAAAGACAACCACACAGGACGCGTAGGAAGGTAAATTGCTCGATAGTGGGCTAAACCAGGCCGGATGCGAGACAAAATGGGCTTAAAATGGTGATCTGATAAGGTGCCACAAAAAATTGGATGATGGCCTATATATTGGTGGGCTTGGCTCATCATCTCTGATATGTAAAAGGTGACTTTTGTTTTATCTTTTAATGGTGGCCTATGTATTGGTGGGCTAGATCCACCATCTCTAAAATAGAGATTACTGAAGTTGCCATTTGCCAATTAGAGTTAGAAAAAAGGACAAAATAAAAGGAAATGCGGTGAGCGTGGATCGAACACGCGACCTTCAGATCTTCAGTCTGACGCTCTCCCAACTGAGCTATCCCCGCAGCCGCTGAGTCACCACGGCTGGATGTTATGCGTTGGGAATTAAAGCATTAAAGAATTAATAACCATTTTTTAAAACTCCACTTAAGTAATCTACCTTCCGTGGGACTATGATCTATGCAGATTGCAAAATTTCTTATTGGCTACTTGTTTGGCACATAAAGTCTGCCATCGTCTAAACTGTCTCATGCAGGAACTCCCTTGATGGATCCACACTTTATGTTGAAACGGCAGAGCCAAAATATAGACTTTTAAAGTCAAAATTCCTACCCTTACTTTTTTGAAAAAATTACAAAATATTAGAGGAATTTTGAATCTATCGTGCAACATAGTTCTTACTGGAATCTGTTATAGATGCTGCTTTGAACAAAATCAAAATGTAATTTTTTATTTATGAATTATTAATCATAATTATCTTCTAATTGTATGAGGTTTAGGTTGATTTAATTTAAGAAATAGCCTAATAATTGATAAAAATTAATCGTCTTTTGATGCTAGTTTAGTTTAAAAAAATAATAAATTTAGTTTCGATTAATGTAAAAATTAATTTCAAAATATCTAATTATTTATAAATATATATAAAATAAATAAACCATTACCCTTGCTGGTCCTCTCTAGATTTGTCATTGCTTTGAAGGGAAAAAAAAAAGGGAAGATGGGGGAACAAGGTCCTTAACCTCAAATTGAGCAATCATAAAACTTGGGACATATAGCAAAATGATTAGTTGAACTTTGTAGTTCTGAATTCCCACTTGAAAGAAGAATTTAGTACATAATTGTCTTCTCTAGTCATGCACCAGCTCTATGTGAACTCCTCTGCCACCAGATTCAAAAGGGCCAAAACAACGAAAGGTTAACATATATGTGCTATCATCGCAGATACAAAAATATCACATCCAATCCCTGAAGGCCACTTCTTCTAACAAACACATGGAGAATGACAGGAGAAATTTGAGTAGGGTTCATCAATTTTGACCAGAGCTTTTTGCCGTTCGATCATTCATGGGAAGGTGTCAGTGCCACCATCTACATTGCAAACTGCACTATGAGCTTACCTACGCACAGGTGTTAGTATCACCATCTTCAACTCATCCGCCCGTGTGGGTTCTTGAAATTCTCAAGAAATTGAATGTCGGAAGTATGGACGAGGCCTCCATGGTTGACTATGGCTCGGGACTCATGCATGGCCGACACTGTATGACCTTACTTGTCGGCCACGATGTCAGCAATTACATACGGATCAATGGAATTAAGCATATTGTTATTTTTACCATTGTTAATGGCAATGCCAGTCCCTAATATTCAATAGTCATATCATATCCAACCTTATACTTCGATTGAGAGGTAATAGTACTTTTATTGTTCATTTGAGATTGCTACTTTTTTTCTTTTTTTTTATCCTTCAAGGTTTTATAAACTTAAAAATTCAGACTAATTCCTGGTTGTTTTGTCATGTTTACAAAATCAAAATAATTTCCTAGTGAGTTTTTTGTATATACAAAAATTCGAATTCAAAACCACTTGTTTAAACAATTGAAGCTCTTTTTACTCAATCAATTCTCTTAGAACTTTTTTTTTTCCTTTATTGTTTATCAAAGATGATGGATTATTTTTATATAAACGAGACCTAATACATTCTTTATCTATTTTTTTATTTTATTTAAATCTAGTGTTTAGTTGGTTTAAGTGATAGCTACATTTTAGTTGTTATAATGAGTAAAAATTTAAATTTAATGTTTTTTTGGATAGAAGGATGATTGAAGATGCAAAACTTAAATGTCAAGGATTCAATTGATCTATTTTATACTACAAGGACTAATATAATACAAGTGTTGAACCACAAGGACATACTTTGTTATTTAACCTTTAGATTGTTGCAGAGTTTTTTTTTTTTTTTTTTTTGTGAAATTGCTCAAGGGTCATTGCAAGTTGCAGCCTCTACACACTTTCCTGGCCAACAAAATATCTTTGACTAGCAATAAGCAAAATAAAATATTGCTCACAGGAAAACAGCAGGATCGTTATTAGTTTTTGGAGGATCCCAAATCTTTGTACAAATCAAGAAATAAACAGTAAAACCACACTGTACAACCATTTTAGGACAGGGTATGACCAATTAATCCATGACATTTTTGTCAGGAACATTACTAATTAATCACCTCATTTTGCCTTTTCCTTGAATTTTTCTCAATGTTCTCCGTTCTTGAATGCAAGAATCTATCTTTTTCTCTCATGTCTCCAAAAACCATCCTTCTTTTCTCCACCACAATCTTACAACTATGCAGCTTGATCATACCAACTTCATCCCTTGAGTTCATCTTCAACACCAACTTCACCTCCACAAACCTTCTCACTTATGGCACTGCTACAACAGAATCTTCAATCCTTTCTCTTGCTAATGACACCACTTTCACCATTGGGCGTGCCTTGTACCCTTCAAGAATCCCTACAAAAGAACAAAACTCATCCACACCGCTTCCTTTCTCTACCTCCTTCATTTTCTCCATTGTTCCGTACAAGAACAGGCTACCTGGTCATGGATTTGCCTTTGTGTTCTTCCCTTCTACTGGCATACATGGTGCTAGCTCAGCTCAGCATCTTGGGCTTTTTAACCTGACAAATGATGGTAGTTCTAGCAACCATGTTTTAGCTGTTGAGTTTGATACCTTTATGAACCAAGAATTCAATGATGTCAATGATAACCATGTCGGTGTTGATGTGAACTCATTAACATCTGTGGCACAATATGAAGCAGGTTTTTGGGAAGATGATGAGAAGTTTCAAGGTTTGAAGCTTAATGATGGGGTTAACTATCAAGTCTGGATTGATTATAAAGATTCAAGGATTAATGTTACTATGGCCAAGGCAGGAGCAAGCAGGCCAAGAAAGCCTTTGATAAGTGAGTTATTGAATATTTCTGGGGTTTTCTTGGATGAAATGTATGTGGGATTTTGTGGAGCAACTGGGCAATTGGTTCAAAGTCATAAGATCTTGTCTTGGAGCTATAGTAATTCAAACTTTTCTATTGGTGATGCTTTAGTTACTAGGCATTTGCCTTCTTTTGCGACTTTAAAAAAATCTGTCTCCAAATCAACAGGATTCATTGTTGGGGTTAGTATTTGTTGTGTTTTGGTTATGGGATGTGGGGTTTCCATATATGTGGTCTTAAACACGAGGAAGAGGAGAAACGAGAAGAAAGAAAAAGTGGAAGACTGGGAATTGCAGTATTGGCCTCATCGTATTGAGTATCAAAAGATTTATGCAGCAACAAAAGGATTTAGGAAAGAAAATGTGATTGGATTTGGAGGAAATGGGAATGTTTATAAAGGAATTCTTGAAGGAACAGAAGTTGCTGTTAAGAGAATGTCTCCCCAGAGTGAACAAGGAATGAGAGAATTCTTGGCTGAGGTTTCAAGCCTGGGAAGATTGAAGCATAGGAACTTAGTTGCAATAAGAGGTTGGTGCAAAGCAGAGAAAGGGGGCTTGATTTTAGTATACGAGTATATGCAGAATGGCAGCTTGGACAAGAGGATTTTCGAGTGTGACGAGAATTCAATGTTGAGTTGGGAAGAAAGGATTAAGGTTTTGAAAGATGTAGCTAGTGGGATCTTGTATTTGCATGATGGTTGGGAAACTAAGGTCTTACATAGAGATATTAAGGCTAGCAACGTATTACTTGACAAGAACATGAACGCAAGGTTAGGGGATTTTGGTTTAGCCCGAATGCACCATCATGGTCAATTGGCCAGCACAACTCGAGTGGTTGGGACCGCAGGCTACATGGCACCGGAATTGGTTCATTCCGGACGAGCCTCGACTCAAACCGATGTGTTCAGCTTCGGTGTCTTGGTCCTAGAAGTAGCCTGTGGTAGAAGACCTATTGAAGAAGGTAAGCCAGGGCTGGTTGATTTTTTTTGGAGGTTAAATTAGAGAAGTGAAGTGATGAGTGCTCTTGATGATAGGATTAAGGCTAAGGAAGGCTATAGCATTGAAGAAGTGGAGAGGGTGCTTCATTTGGGATTGTTGTGTGCACATCCAAATGCAAATGTTAGGCCAACAATGAGGCAAGCAGTGAAGGTCTTAGAGGGGTTAAGTGAGGCCATCGAGCCTCAAGAAGGTGTGGAAGTTCATTTGCTTGATGAAATAAGAACAAATGGAATGTGGTCTAGGCATTACCAGAATTCTGCTAGCAGAAGTCATCCAACCATGAATGATGTTTTTAAAACACTATCATCTTCATCCATTCCGCTTTCTAGCTCGGATATTATAACCGAGGGACGGTGAATATTTGTTAATTTCAGTAGCAATTTTGGTCTGTACTCATCTTGATCGCAGTTATTTTTTCATCTGTATATACATAAATTGTTACACGTTTTGCAAAATATTATGTTCAAAGCAACCCACATTGGAGTTAAATTAGCATGATTTAATTCCCTTAGATGTTAAGCGCAAAAAAGTGGGTCCTGGTTCTCTGTATTGGCAATTTATCCTATTGACTTGATTTGTTTTGTATTATAATATCTATGGAACAGCTACCTATCTAACCTCTGTAGTCCAGTGGTTGCGGGGATAGCTCAGTTGGGAGAGCGTCAGACTGAAGATCTGAAGGTCGCGTGTTCGATCCACGCTCACCGCATTGTGATTCATTTTCATTTTTTATAAGTCTAATTGGCAAATGGCAACTTCAGTAATTTCTATCTATGTACGGTAACCCCATTGTTGAGAGATGGTGGACCTAGCCTAGCCCATCATCAAAAGATAAAACAAAAGTCACCTTTTAACTACTAGAAATGGTGGACCAAGCCCACCAGTATATAGGCCATTATCGGATTTTTGCTGCACCTTATCGGCTCACAATGCGAAGCCCATTTGGTCTCCCTTTCCAGCCCTGGTTTGGCCCACTATGAACAATGTACATTCCCCTACACCTACTGTGAGGTTGTCCTTAGCAATCTGTATTTGAGAGATTGATTTTCACTTCAAAGAAAACCCGATCCATTTTTATCAGGTCAGGACTTGGCCCATCTGTTATCTTTTTTTTTTTTTTTGCTTCATTTTTCCGTTATATATAATATCACTTTAAATACTTGAAAGAAAGGAATATTTTTCCGTTACATGTAAGCTTTTGTCAAAATAACCATAATTTCAAAAGAAAAAATCTTTTTCTTTTTTATATGATTCATGTGCTTTTCAAACTGTTTTAATTAAAGTTATGTATTTTTTTCATAATAATTGATTGCCTCAATTCCTTATTTTATTTTATTTTATTATTGTTCCTTCGTTATAGTCATAAACTAACAATATTATACATGGATGGATCATAACAAAATAAAATAAAATAATATATAGATTTAGTTAATATTAAAAAAATAAGATTTCAATTAAAACCATTCGAAAAAAATACAAACATCATCTAATGGGCAAAGTCAAAAAAAAATTAAAAAAAATTGCAACGATTACCAGCATCTTCAACGTCCTAACTTGCCAAAAATTATTGCAGGAGTCAAATTCATTATTAATCCTTTCATATAAATTATGTGTGAATTATAAATAAATAAAAAAAAATTGTATGATCCATAACTCTGAATATGAAATGATGATGAACTTATCTCATGTAATTTTCTTGTACCTCCAAAACTCAGATACTGGAGCTAGGGACAATCTCAGTTCTTTGTGGGCTGGGGTGGAAATATAAATAATTTCAGTACTGAAATTGGTTTTATCAAAAGATGTACGGAAGAGCAACACATCAAACCTTTGTTGTCCATGTGGCGGGGATAGCTCAGTTGGGAGAGCGTCAGACTGAAGATCTGAAGGTCGCGTGTTCGATCCACGCTCACCGCATTGTGATTCATTTTCATTTTTTATAAGTCTAATTGGCAAATGGCAACTTCAGTAATTTCTATCTATGTACGGTAACCCCATTGTTGAGAGATGGTGGACCTAGCCTAGCCCACCATCAAAAGATGATGGACCAAGCCCACCAATATATAGGCCATCATCCGATTTTGTGGCCCAGTGGATGGGGGGATAGCTCAGACTGAAGATCGGAAGGTAGCGTGTTGGATCCACGCTCGCCGAAATTCTTATCTTTTTCAGTATTTTCTGCCATTGCTCTGAAATTGCATTTCTTCCCATAGGTTTATATGCATTGTTTCTTCTCATACTTTTATGCATGGGTTGTCTTATTTTCAATGTTCAACTAGCCGATGATGACCCAATGTTTATAAATAAATAAATATTTGAATAGTAATTTTTTCTTTAAAAAAACATAATATAACCCATGTAAAATTATTTTGAAAAAATTATATATGGTTTACATCTAACAAAAAATAAAACTTCCAAAATTTTTTTATACAAGTTCTTAAATTTGCATACGGTTTATTTTCCACTCAAGTTCTTGATTGAAAGTCAGAAAAAAGGTCTAAAAAAATATAAAGCATGCATGAATTTGTAGAAGAAAATGACTCGCTATTTGACATGTTTGATCACCAAAAAAAAAAAAAAATCATTTCACCTCTAAATTTCTGATGCGGGTATATTGCTATAGATTGGTGCCTTCAAAATTTCTGAGCAAGTAGCATGGACTAAGAGAAGGTCGTTGCATGGATGCCATTGCCTGCTTTCAAAAATCATACTTAAACTGGCGGTTGGAAAAGCTTCTTTTATCAGTTTATTATACATAATGTTCTTGTTTCAGAAGAAGATGATGAATAGGTATTCGTCACTCTTAATCTTCACAATTTACAAGGAAGACGTGAGAGTGAATTTTCTTTCCAACAAAACCCTACCTGGCTGCCTTAACGTTTCTAGTAGATGGGGGAAAAGAAGACACAAATATTCATTACTCGAAATTCTATCAGTTTCTCGTATATTGCAATGGTCTCAAAATCGACCTTCTTGTGATTATCATCCTACTGTTGCTTGAAAACTGAGCTGAACAAATATTCTTACAAAGGCATTCTCTAAAACACTCTATATAGAGTAAATAATAATTACTAGAAATTTAATTTTTAAGAAAAAGCACCCACTGTACAAAGAGCCATGCACCATATCGCTTTCCTGGCATCAAGTTAGCTGTTCCTCCACCGTGAACGATTTCAGATTTCATTACTGTTTTATTCGCTTCAATGCCTGGAGGCGACCATCAAACTATCTGTTGGTTGCTTCCCTTGAGCTTTTAACTTGGCTTGTTTTGTCTTGTCAAGCCGTCTTCGGGCAAATTCTTGGATCTGGCGGTCGTGCTCTTTGAGCATTTGTTCCATGTTGTTTGATGGAACAAGTAACGGACCAGAGAGGTAAATCTTGTTTCCCCTGGATCCACGACCATGCTGTAAAGGAACATGAACAAATTTTCAATGTTGAGAAATCATGCTAAGAGGTAACATTTCGCATCAATCGGAGGCCAAAATATTCAATATCCTGTGGAATGCATTAATGCTAAACTCCGAACAAATCAGTTGGATCGACAAACCAGAAACACAAAGAGAAGCTAAGTTTGTATGAACATAAGGTATGGGTGTGTGCCAAATTTTGGACATATTACTTTAACAGCAAACATACTTCAATGTTCCGGTATGGCAACAATTGTAGGATTCATTTTACTAGGACATAAACAGGAAAATACGATGACCATTCAACAAAAAAGAGTGCACATGAAGCCATGGAAGGCTGAAAGGCAACGAAGCAGATTTCCTTGCCAAGAGCAATCATGATATGTTCAACACGCTATATGAAGAAGATGGTGCTTATTTCCTTCTTCCCATCATATTCACTTGACTCACTTTAAGTTCTATCAAATGTATCACTAGAGTTCATGCACAGAGGGTATCTTGTCTAGTATTTGAGATGGGACATTTGAATCAGAAAAAATTTATTAAGAACTTACCAGACTTGGTTCTTTGTTACTGGATTTTCCAGCTCCTGTCTGAGGAGAATCTCCCATCTTCTGTATTTGACAATTTTGGCCCTGCTTTCTTGAGGACCCCAATCCATTTAATGATCCTTGAAGCCTGCCTACTTGTTTTACTACTTCTGGATGTGGGACATCAGGTTTTTCTTGGCGATCTCCAGGCAAGATAGTTCTAGTTGCTACTAAACCAGATATTGTTGATAGGTTATGTCTCCCTGATACCATATTATGATTATCAAAATCCTTTCCGGTCCTTGTCCAGCCATTCCCTTGGACTAATGGCCCTGAATGTGAAACTTTCTTATGTTGATGCTCCATGAAATCTCCTCTCCGTTCTCTTACAGCTTGACTTTGTTTAGAGGGATCAATCATGAAACCAGAAACAGTTTGCTCCTTATGAGAGTTGAATGTCTCGCCTCTATTATTTGAAACAGAATTACGTCTCTGCTGCAATCAGAGACCAAATATAAATGAAAAGACAAGCTTAAACTGAATCTGGTCATAAAAAAAATGAGGAATGGAAGAAAAGCAGAAGCAATGATGAAACCAAAATAGATTAACACATGTATTAGAGACATAAAAGAACAAAAGAGGAGAGCAGGTAAACCATGAAGAAACTGAAGGCAACAAAATCACAAGTATAATTATAACCTTGTGAATCAAAATCAAAAAGACCTGCAAGTGTCTGACAGTCATAGAATAAAATCCACAACAACGCAAATTTTTAAATTGATATGTAGATTTCAATTTCAGTTGAACCAGGACAGGAATCCATGTTAGGAGTTACCTGCAGGGACGTGGGCAAATCAGGATGGCCATTACGTGCAAGAGATTCTTTTAGTCCACTTCTCCTGCCTGCAGCTGCTCCTTGCCTATGAAAATTAACAAAGAGATTAACACTGCAAAAACCAAATTCTTTTATAGCAAGTAATTTTTTTCTTTTTAACATCTTGAAATGTGAAGATTCCCTGCCACCCGAGGTTTTAGGAACTAATGCTTTTCAACAGCATACATATATAGAACATAAACAATATAGCCATAAATTAACAATCTCTACTCTCAGTTTCCAATCGTGCAACAAAATACAAAGTTCCTGCCTCTAAAGATAGGTGCTACCGTTCAGAAAGTAAGATTCTAACTCCCCACCAAAAATGACAGAACAATCTTTATTTTCAAATAAATGAAAATCAACTAAAAGGTATATACCTTCGAGCTTCTTCATCCCGTAGTTTCGCATCAATCTCTTTGCTGGGGGGTATTTGGGCAAACTTGATGGATCGCAAGCAAATGGTTTTGTCGTAAAGAACTGTAGGTTAAGGAGAGATTGGAAGTTAATAATCACAGCAGCTAATAAGAAACCCCACAGAAAGAGGAATTATACTATCCATATTAAAATCAGAAAGCAAGTTATAGGAAGTCAGTTCATAAAAAATGACAAGAAACTTAAGGAAAAGGAAAGAAATTCACTGAAGACCCAATACAGTAAAAAGTCAAGAGATTGACAATTGATGGTACTAGGCCAACAACTGTCTTAAAATAAAATGGCTACATGGGACTCATTTTTCATTCTAATTATATGTCAGGTTCTGAAATAACATTAAGTCTCTGCATACCTCACTGGTGAGAGCAAAAGCTGCAGTTCCTCGATGAGCTGGGTCCATGGAAAGTAAGTTTTCCATAAGGCCAACAGCAGGAGCAGGAAAGTCTTTGAATGTTTCAGTTACAGATTGTCTATATGGTCGTTGAGGCTTGATTACTGATGAATGAGGCAACTTTGATTTTATCCAGTAATCCTCAGAGGGCGAGCCACATAGCTTAAAAATCTTGTGCAATTGCTCAACCTACAAGACACAGCAACTACTGTTATTGTAATTAAATCCCAGAAAATGTTGCTTAAATTTATCATTATAACATCAAGATGCATGTTGTATACACAAGCATGAAGGCAATTAAATTTATCACATTGAAACCACTATTAGAGCAAGCATTAACCAAGCTTAAAGTTCAGAGTGAAGGCAGGTCAGGCAGCATCATGAACAGAATGTTTTATTGTCATTATGACCATATTGACTAGACTCCGTTTCAGAAGTCTGAAGACTCGTGTTAGGCTATTTCTTTTCATAAATATGGTACCTCTGTTCTTCCCGGCAAAATAGGTTTGCCAGAGTACAGTTCCCCAAGTATGCAACCCGCACTCCATAAATCCACAGCGACTCCATAGCGAGAGGCTCCAAGTAAAAGTTCAGGTGCTCTATACCAAAGAGTCACCACGCGGCTTGTCAATGGAGCACTACTTCGAGGATCGAAGAAACTTGCTAAGCCGAAATCAGCAATTTTCAAGATGCCGTTGTCATCAATAAGAAGATTTGAACCCTTTACGTCACGATGCAGAACACTGTGAGTGTGACAATGATTGAGTCCACTTAAAAGCTGCTGCATGTAACATTTGATCTGGCAAAAAAATTGAAAAGCATGAGGATTGAGAAGGATGCTGTAAAGCACACAGAGTTTCTAATCAAGTATTGTATTCAGCAAGGGATCTGAAAAAAGAAAAATCCTAAAACAACCTTAACATGTTGAATAGCAGTCAAAGAGAATCACTGGAAAAAAAATAACAAAAAGGTACCTGTGCTTCAGTGAACTTGATGCCAGGAAGTGAGGCAAGTCCCGTGAGATCATGTTCCATGTACTCAAGGACAAGGTACAAACTGGAAGATGTCTGGGATGCTATCAAGCCTTCCAGTTTAATTATATTGGGATGATCCAGCCTCCGCAAAATAAGAATTTCACGGGACATAAATTTCACACTCTCTGGATCACTGCTATCAAACCGAACTTTTTTAATAGCAACAATTTTATCACTCGTGACATCACGAGCCTTGTAGACATTGCTATATGTTCCTTGTCCAATCTGCAAGAATAAGAGGCCATCATATAAAATCCAATAAAGGGACATGGTGAAACTGATATGAACGGCATACCAAAACTAACAGAAATCAATCATCAAGTAGAGAATGGAACATACTCTGTCTAACTTCTCAAAAGTATTGGCACGGCGCGGCACCCATCCCCTAATAGCTTCTCCTGCGGCTGAGGCAAGCCAAGAAGGCCATCCAGCAGCAACCTGCTCAGCTTCCACAGACTTAGGCACCTTCCCCCACGCTGGATGATTAAGAACTGGAACATCTTGGCAAACTTCTATCTTCGTTTTCTCAATCTGAGTTTGACAAACAGCAGCAACTTCATAATTCTCAACCTTACTCTTCTCAATTTGATCCTCAATTCGCCTTTTCACAATCTGATCACCAAGGTACCTCCTCGAACCCCTTGTTTTCTTATCAATTAGCATAACCTTCACATCTCCACTATTAGGTTTATCCTTCGATCGAACCCCATCATCTTTTCTTAAAGAATTAACATGAGCAACTCGTCTATCTAATGATCCTTTACAAGATAGCCTCTCTTTTGGACCATCTTGGCTATTTTCCTTAGAGGCAATACAACCCATTTTGCTTCACTATCAAAACCAACCAATCCCTCCTTTACAATCAAAATTTAACACCAAAAACTAACACCAAACACCATGGACACAAAACCATCAACACAAACAAACAGTCTCTTGATAAAATACCCTTTTGAACAAATGATCCAAATTGAAGACCCAAACACCCCAAGTTTCCAAAAAATGGACTTTAAGTACCTAGAATTTAAAGTCCCCAACCAATAACAAAGTCACAAAAACGAGTAAGCAAACAGTTATCGAATCATACATAGAAAAAGACCCAAAAGAAATAAATAGATAACAAGTACCTTGAAAGATGAAAGACTTGAACTTGATAAAGATCATGCAGAGAGAATGGAATAGAAGTCTTAATTTCCAAGAAAGAAACAAAACAATGTTTGATTTTCTGGTTTCTTTTTTGACTGTTCAACGCGTATATATATGCATATATAAAATCTCTTAACACGGATATTATTATTAACAAAGGAGTCGGCTTTTGCCGGTTATTGCTTGGTCAATAGAATCCACTTCTTCTCTCTAACGTGTGTGTGTGTGTGTCTCTCTCTCTCTCTCTCTATGTGTTCACTGTAGTGGTGAGCAGGAAAGATGGAAAATAAGATGAATCATCCTTTTTCTGTTTCTGTTTCTATTAAAACATGTTTTTCGTAGGTTACGTTCTGTTGGGTTCCAAAAGTAAAGTCTTTGTGTTGTACAACTTTGGATGCTGTATTTAACTGTTATGATTTTGACGCCTTAGTATCCTGGTTTTTTTCTTTTTTACGGTAATTAAGTGTTTTTTTTTTTTTTTTGCATCATAATTGATGCATTCACCCCATCTCTTTCTTTGATTAATTTTTGAAATGATATGAGAACAAATTTGTTTATCACCAATCATAAAAAAAAAATTTAATTGTAATATTTCAAGAATTTTCTTAAAGGACAAAAAAAGCTAAAATTGTGGATTATGAATTTAAATTTAAATATTAACTATGAAAAGTAAAATTTTCATAAATTTTCTATGTTTAAGTTGGATTTTTGACCAAATTAAAATTGTTGATTCACTCTTAGTTTAATGAAAATTTACCAACCAATATTACTTAATCGCAAATGTTAAGAAAAACACATACCATTGATATGTGTACATCTAGTTTTCTATTTTTTATCTTTTTTTTTTCCCCTCTAAGGATATTTACATTTTATTTGACGACAATGATGATGGGTTTTTTTTATTAGTTTTTGTAATTTACTTTTTATTTTTAAAAAATTTATTTGAGTTTCAAAATCAGGCATCTATATCATGAAATTTCAAATCTAGGATGTAACTTATCTTTTATGTCTATAATTTGTTTAAATTTGTTCACATTACATTCTAGAGTAATCATGATTGTATTAAATAAATAATTAATTGGTTTGAACTTTAATTCAAATTGTATGGACTGTTAGGGTGTGATTTGGATATTATGAAAGTTAGTTTCTTTTTTCAAAAAAATAAAATAAAAAAACCTCACCCGTTTATTCATTTCTATAATTTGTTTAAATTTACTTACATTCCATTCTAAAATGGTCACTGTTATACAAACATTTGAATTCATAATTGTTTGGTTTGAAATTTAATTCAAATTAGATAGGAATTACCAGGATGTTAGCTATATACTAAGAAAGCAACTAAATATTGGAAAAGCTTGTTTCATTTTTTTTTTTTTAAGACGTCCATTTTATTGCTATTGGAGTTTGTATTTTCATGTTTTAAGTTGGAATTGAAATCTGTGAACATTTTTATTCAAATTCAACAAAGTTCAATAATTTTTTTCAAATCTTGTTCAAAACAAAAGTGATAAATTTAAACTCCTTCCAACAAGCATATTATAGGATTTAAAACCTGCATATTGTCGGAAAATTCATTTGGAGATCAACTCGTTCGTCACTCGTACCAATAACTTATTATTCAACAAAATTCAAATTTATATATACTTTAGCAAATTCACTATTCTGTCTTTAAGATTTCATATAAAAAACATGTTGAAATTTTAAATTTAAAAAAAAAATTGTAGCACTAATTACTTTTCCATAAAAAAAAAAAATGAAGAACCAATTCTTGACATGTGTTCAAAAATTTGAAAACCACTTGCATGTAAAAATTAAATACATAAATGTAAACTAACATCAATAAATTCTGTTGTGATCATTTGCAATCAAAATGTGAAAGAAGTAGGCCGACATTTTTTAAGTTGGATAATTATTATTTTTTATTATCTCAACTAACATTTTCAACAATATTATTTTTACTAAGCAAAATCTGTAAGATTAATAATAATATTTTCAATAATGGCCTAAACATTAAGAGATATGGGAAGTTGGATAATGATTATTTTTTATTTTCTACCACAATTTTGAAGTTGAAAGAGGTAGGTCGACATACATTGTGGAGTAGAATCCATATATTTTCAACCACTTTTACATCCACTTTAGAAATGACAAGAACCAGAGGATCCTACTTTGGCTTTCCACCTTTCAATAATTTTTAGAAGCGAAATAATTTTTTTTCCTCTTCGCATTATAATGACTCGAAGAATTTAAATCTGGATCAAGTGAGATAATTCATACTTATAGAAGCTCAATTTCCTCAATTGTATGTCTTTATAACTTTATTTGTAAATTAAATAAGTGAATTTATAGTGGTTTTCCTTTTTTCAAGATACAAAAGTATTAGGGTTAATACCATTACTTATTTTATATAAAAAGCTAAAATTTTAATCTGTCTTTAAATTTAAAACGTCTCCAATCTGTCTCGTTATTTGAGTCTGCTTTGTAATCCATCCATCTGGTCAAAATTATTGACTAATTCATTAAAAATTAATCTTTATATTAGTATATATATAGATCATTTGTGTAAAAAAATAAAAATAATTATATCAAATCAAATACCACATGCGAGATCACATATTTAATTTGACCAAAAATTTTAACTAAAATGATAGATTAAAAACCGACTCAAACAACATAAACATATTGGAGGTGTTTTTGAATTTAGGAACAGGTTGTAAATTTGATACAAGTGAGAGTATTAACTTCAAGTACTAGTAGTGGTCCTAATTTTGGTAGTTAAAGACTGGATCCACTTAAAATTTAAAAAAGGTGGCCATGCATGCTAATTTTGAAGTTTTTTTAAGTGAGAAGGTCAACCTAAACATCAATATCAATGGTTGCATTTTAGATTTAAGTACAATTTTATAGTTGCATCCCCAACTACAACCGCACTATCAATGAAAACATGCCCACTACACTGAGTGGAGGATGGAGACACAATGGCTCTATTTAACCCACAATGCACCCAATATCAACTCCATCTAACCTTTGAAATTTTGCAATCTTCATTAACATGGATATTTAGAGAAAGTGGTTGGAGTTAATCCTTTAAAAATAATAATCAAACGAAAAGAAAGTTAGAAAAGATACTCTTAAGATTTTCCAAAAGATAAAAAATGAAAAGTGTAATTTTAAAATGGCCAAATTTAAGCACTTTTAAATAATTAATTCATCAAACATGGCATACGTGTAAGTAAATGCAATCCATGTAGATGGGTATTTTAAGAAGAGGATATTTTTTTAAGGAAAAATAAAGAATGGATTTTTTAAAAAGATAAAAAAATGAAAAGTGTAATTTTAAAATGGCTAAATTTTAAGCACTTTTAAATAATTAATCCATTAAACATGGCATACGTGTAAGTAAATACAATCCATGTAGATGTGTATTTTAAGAAGAGGATCTTTTTTAAGAAAAAGAAAGAAAGAAGGGATTTCCCAAAAAGATTAAAAAAAAAAAAAAATGAAAAGTGTAATTTTAAAATGGCTAAATTTTAAGCAATTTAAAATAACTTATCCAGTAAATATGGCATACGTGTAAATAAATGTAATCCTTGTATATGGGTATTTCAAGAAGAGGATCTTTTTAATTAAAATAAAAAAGAGATACTTTTAAGATTTTCCAAAAAAGATAAAAAAAGAATAAAAATGAGAAGTGTAATTTTAAAATGGCCAACTTTTAAGAACTGAATAAATATCCATTAAATATGACATACGTGTAAGCTTATCTCTTCACATATAGATCCATACAAAAATGACAAGCTGAACTAGTCAATATAAAATCTATGGAAATATTTATTTTTCTAATGAATATTATATTTTTATAAAAAAAATAGAATATATTTTCTAGTAACTTTTGACATATTTAATATTTCGTTTGAATGTTAGCTAGCATCGGAAGCTACGAAAAACTATTAATTTAGAATTTTGGTAGACAGAACTAAAACCCAGCTTTGAAATAATCATCCAGTTGAAAATAACTTTGTTCCATTGTTTTACAAATCATTAATAAATTCCTCTTTGGAGAGCCAAATATTTTATTTGGTGGTGAAAGACACCTAAAAGATGTTTCTCATTCTTTCCTATAAACTCCCCTTAGTGTTCTCTTTGTATTTTTAATTCAGTTAATTGAATATAATTTGTTGAAATTAAAAAGTTGTCTCGGCTAATTTTTATTCTTCTTCGCTATTGGAATCATTGTCATCAATTTTCTTTCATCTCTATCATCACCATTATTTTCATTGAGTAATATGTTTTTTTATTTGAAAAATTTTATATCAATTTTATTGAGATTGAAAATACAAGAGTTATATTGATTGAAGTAACAGTAAAGGCTTTTTTTTTTTTTTAACCAATTAGAAAAAACACAAGATGCAAATAATGGATTTTGCTTATCTCAATACTGTGAAACAACTAATTATTTTTTTTATTTCAAATGTAATGAACTCATAGTTTAATTAACATTAGGATGTTTCCCCTAATGATACGGGTTTTAATGAGTAAATTATAAATTAGTGCCTTTCATTTTGAAAAATAAATTAATTATTTTTTTTAAATAATAATTTAAGATTTAATTTTGTCGAGTAACTTAATCTTTCTATCAGTTTTCCATCAAATTTATGGTTTTTTTTCCTTCTCAAATT